CTTCTCTCTCTCTTCTCTCTTGCCTTGTTAGTGGTGCTGGCTCCTATGTCCAGTAGTTCTATGATCTTTGGTGGGTAGACCTCTCTCGTCGCTTGAAGTCTCTCTTGAGTACTGAGACTCATTTTAGACATAAATAAAGAGGGAATCAGCTGGAAAGGAGGCAAGAATCAATGGAAGACAAAAGTGGTGGTTTATTCCAAACCTTTTGAGATGTCTTCGGCTCTTTGACCAATTTAGTGAGTTTTCTAGAGCTGGAAAGACTAGCAACTTTAGTCTTGACAAAGGACCGGCTCTCTTTGGCCTGCTCTGCCATTTTCTTGAGCTAGAAAGTAAAATTGCTCTCCTTTTCCCAATAAGAGCACAAGATGTACCATTTGCCGGTAGCTATGGTAACGGTGGGCGTGGTTCCCGCCAAAACACGTGGTACAAAACAAGACCCTACAGAGATTTTATCCTCGATTTTGTCATTCCAGCCTTAGTGAGGTCTTATAAATCAATTAAAAAGATAGCAAAATTATGAGAAAGAAATGAAGACGTGGGTGGATAGTTATACTTTTGAGTTAGTAAGCATTTTAGCATGTAAAACCATTATTAATACCTTATTATTGTTATATTATTACTTACATGTAGTTTTCCCTGGGAGACTGTAGTACAGGCTGCATATCGTAAATACCCAACACGTCACAATACTAATGTTAAGACGCTCGATACATTGGAAAGGAGGTGTGGTCAAAATGGGAGTGGCCGAGTTTTGTTTAGTCATCGGTTGTTTGGTACACTATGGAATGTACCGGCTCTTGTAATTAATGTATGTACTATAAGTCTATAATATTAATGTATGTTATGTACGTACTATATTACCTTAAGCCTACTATTATTTGTGTCTACTAATTTTAGCGAAATCAGCAAAAGTCATGTTTAGCATTACTAATTTTAGCGTTTTTAACCAAATTAACTATAAATAATAACCATTATAATGAATAATAATTATTTTGGCGTCTATTTAATTTAGCAATTTAAAGCTCTCTCGCTAATATAGTTAAATTTAGTAGACGCTAAAAATAGTAGGCTTAAGGTATATTATTATAATTATTATTAATGCTTGATGTATGATATCTTGTGTTTTATAGATATTAGGGTTTAATGAGATGATGTATATTCATGAAATGTCTGAGTGTGACACTGTTAGCAAGACACTTACCATCTCTGCCGTTAATGTCAGTAATTTTGTTAGATAATCTTTATTATTTGAAAATATTCATTTATTTAAAATGTCTCGTTTTGCTCCTTCGACTATAATGTATTTGCATTTTGATCTTAATAATTAATACTACCTTAACTACTTACCTACTCTTGTTATTATGTATTGTTACTTTGTGTAAATCTGTTCACTGGTTTTTTAATGGTATATAGGTCTCATTAAGAAGTTTATTTAAGATGAGCGAAGTCCTGCAATACAAAGTACATCCAGAGCATCCATCAAAGTAAGCCAGTGGTGGTATAATAGTATTAATAATTATTTGTTATTGTTAGGACTATACTACAGCAGCATACTGTAATGAGTGTTCATGGTGTTCCATTGCTAGGAGGATTATTAGAAACCATGATACTCAATTCTTATGAATCTGTTATATCAAAGGTTTGTCTTTATAATAAGCATATGGCCTATTTGGTTCAGAATATTTTTTGTGACTGGATGTACTGTATTAAAAGAATCTTTCATTTGCTGTTGTAGCATTATTTGCTATTCAGTTGCAAGCTGAACCCAGCTCTACTGAGCACTAGATTTTAAGAGCTTAATATGTAATAATAGCTTGTGTGCATTATTGCACTTTGTGGACAGTAAAGTTTATTAATTATTATAGGGAAGATTGGCAGTAGAAGAGAAAGCAAAAGAGATAAAAAAGGAACTGTAATTCATTTTATAATTGATTTTTAAATTTAATGTTTGTACTTTTACTATTGTGATATACAGTGTTACAGTATCTTACTATATACCTTAGTTTATACTTTGTATATTCTTGAATTCTTGACTTTCTTATGAGTATTAAAATGTTTGAATATGATTGACAAGTACATGTAAGTGTACACAGGGGCGTGACGAGACTATCCTTAGAAATAAGGGTATAGGCTAAATCTTGTACAGGTTGTACCACAGTACTCTTATGATTATTTTTTCAGTTCAAAATATGTATACATGCAAAGTTCTCTTTTCTCAGTCTTACACACTATAAATTGATGCATACTAGGATTACTATAGCTTGCTCCCAAAAATAAAAATCAGGATTGATAAATGTGTTACTATTGTTATAAGCCACTTGATTACCACACTGGTAAAAAATCTTACATTATAATTTTGTCCATAATGCACTTGTATATTATCTAACTTGCATTACAAAAATAAGTATAAACCAGCAACCAAAAAGTTTAATAAAAGTAAAAATAAAATATTAAACTAAACTAGCTTCACAAATTATTACTGGTGCTTCCTTAAGTTCCTTTACCTCTATCTGCCCTTTGAGGAAGTCCTTCAACTTTTTACTCTGAAAATTTAACTTTATACCAACATGTTGAAGTGAAGGATGGTTAAGGATAGCATCAAAGAATTTTCCCCATACACTTTCACTTTTACGCCTTGGTGAACCAAAAAAATGTACATTTAAGCTTAGTACCTTGATCCATTTATTTGACTGTAACATATTAGTAATCATTGGTAGAACATGATCCTGGAATATGGTGAAATTACCTATTGCAATAATGGTTTGTTCTTGATCATGGCCTTGAAAATCTAATTGAAGTTCAGTGAGTTTTTCCCTGCGAGATAGAAGACTAAAAAAAGCTTTTACATCATTGTCTTTATTATACACCCAATTAGTAGTAAGTGGAATAGGTAGCGACAACTGTTGTAATGTATTATTACCTTCAAGTCCAGTAATAAGATATGAAAAGAAGGTATGTGGCACATTTCTTGTATTAGAAACAAAAATAGTAGAAATAGCCTTTATTTGGAGGCATTCTAATGTTTGATTTTTTTGGAGCATTTCTTTCATACTAGTACACATATTTTTGAACACACAGTTACAGCTAAATTTTTCGGTGGACACAATTATGTCTAATTTCAATGCTTTCAGTTTATTATCAGTCTTTAGAATATCAAAGAGCTCAACAGCACTTTCAGGCGAATTTAATGGCAATCCAGTTACAACCAGACTAGGATTGGTAACATAGGATGGATACAGCTTTGGTAGTAAAATACATTCCAGTCTAAGAGTGAGGGGGAGATTTGCCACAGTATTCATAGCAACCAATGGTGTATTTACTGTTTCTACCATATCCGTTGAAACCAAAAAATGACCTGAAAGAGCTTTTAATCTTTTGTTTTCGTTAAAGAGCTGTGTCATTAACCCATGGGTTAAGTATGCCTTACCAGCAAAATGTATTGAAAGAAATGTTATACTTGTATTCTTGCATACTCCTTCAATGATAGTATTGAAAATGTTCCTTCCATGATTATTAAAATTAATTATTTCTTGGCTGACACGATATTGATTTGTCTCTCTACGATCAACAAGGAATTCTTGTAGAGTTGTTTTTTTCTCTAAACATTTCTTAAGATCAGAACAATGACAGTGTTCTATACTATACTTTTCTATGTTTTCATTTATTCTCAAGTGTAGTATTTTTATTTCTACAAAACTAAGGAACTGTACAAGAACATCACATGTGTATAGAGAAGTACCTGATACTTTAATGTAGCACTCCTGGATATTTTCTAATTGTGACATCGTGTCATTGGTGAGTCCATTAAAATGTACATCTAGTCTTTTTGTATTCAATATGCTAGTCAATACTGACAGTTCATCTTGATTCAATGGCATGAGATGAAGATGGTTCCAGTGGGTAGCACTGTTGACATTAAGAAAATAATTGAGACACAATATGTCAAATAGAGAAAACTCTAATGCATGACAGCAAATTGACTGAGGACTAATGGATTTCGCTAATGCTTGGCATAGTTTTTTATTTTGTGATTCATAAAGGAGATGAAGGAAGAGAATAGGAAAATGGTCAACATGAGTAAGGACATTATCAAGATTGACATGGTTAACCATTGGATTAGTATGGAAATAGGACTGATACCAAGCCTCAAATCCAAATAAGTGCTTTGTCTTGCACTGTAAGTCAATTGGTTTATCAAAGTATTGCTCATAACTGTTATGACTAAGATTGGTTAGACCTGCCACAAACCTCAGACACATTCGAAAGTGGCCATTG